GCTGCCAACTTGTTAAATTGAGAAAGACTAGAATGACCCATTCTTCTATGCCATAATAGTGGATCATCCTCCACTACACATAAGTATGTGTAATCACTCTAAGGAAGAGACATAATGGATATCTTGTAAACATTGTTATGTCTCTTACCTTTTAACATAATTTCATAAGTATCAAGCTTAGTGATAATGCAGATTTTGGAGTTGAGTTTTACCTTATTTCCTTATCACACATTTGGGAGATTCTAAGAAGATTATTTTTGAGTCCTACAACATAATACATATCTTCTATAGCATGAGAGAGTGACTTTCCAACCTTACCAATACCTGTTATCTAGCCCTTTTTTCCATTTCCAAATGACGCACTCCCTCTTTGAAAAGCTGTCAGTGAGAGGAAGTTTTTCTTTTCTATAGTCATATTTCTTGAGCATCCATTGTCTAGATACCAGTCTTGATTGTTTCCTCTCACTTTAGCCTATACCAAAAATCACAAGTTAGTCTTGGAAACCCAAACAAGTTTGGGTCCCTTTTTATTTGAAGAAAGATGAATTAGATCTATTCTTGACTAGAAGGGAAGAGGATTAGTAACTATTTTTTTGTTAACCTTAATACACTTAGTATGGACAAGAGGCTTAGCTTTTTAGTTCCTCCTCCTTCTTTACATTTTTAGCAAGACCAAAGGTAGTCTTAAACTAAGCATGAATTAAGGCAGGATATATATCTCTAACGCGTCCTACCTTTCCACAATGAGTGCACATTTTATTATCAGAAATTCCTACATACTTTCGATTAAATGTGGGAATAGGTTTTCTATAGCCAATTCCAGATTTGTTAGTATTGCAGTTTTCATTCAGCCAATTCAAAGCATCCGAGGATCTATGCCATTTTCTTAGTCTAGATAGTTCATAATTAGCCTTTTCTAGATTTTGTTGCAAGATTTTATTCCTACATTCAGCATCACAAAGATTATCTTTAGCCCTTTTAGTTCATTTTCAAGCTTATCCTCCATATCACTTATTTTTCCCTTACTATGTGTATCAAGTGACTTCTCATTTTTAGAAGTGAGCTTAAGAACCAGGTTCTTAAGGTCCTTGACCTATCCTTTAAGATCAGCTTTGTCAGATTCAAGTTCTTTGAGATCAAGTTTGACACATGAAAGGTTGCTTATTAACTGATTATTTCCAGCACTCATTTTGTCCATTTCACTCATCATGGTCATAATTATGGTCATTAGTTATTTTTTAGACATAGCATGAATATTTTTTTTTCACGTTAGAGATACTTACCTGACTTGTTTCATCTTCAGCCTCCGAATCACTCATGATCATCATTCCTATCACTTCTTTTTCAGTTTGGCTTTCTTCAATCGCGATCAGTACCACTTCAACATTTTTATCTCCAAAACCAGCTTCCAAGGTCCTCCATATGTTATGGGCAAAGATGTAAGAGGACGTATTGTAGAAAACATTCTGGGCAGACTTCTGTAGAGCAGGTCCTTTGCTTAAGAACCGGGTTCTTAAGGTCTTTGACCTATCCTTTAAGATCAGCATTGTCAGATTCAAGTTCTTTGAGATCAAGTTTGACACATGAAATGTTGCTTATTAACTGATCATTTCCAGCACTCATTTTATCCATTTCACTCATCATGGTCATAATTATGGCCATCAGTTATTTTTTAGACATAGCATGAATATTTTATTTCAAGTTAGAGATACTTACATGACTTGTTTCATCTTCAGCCTCCGAATCACTCATGACCATCATTCCTATCACTTATTCTTCAGTTTGGATTTCTTCAATTGCCATTAGTACCACTTCAATGTTTTTATCTGCAAAACCAGCTTACAAGGTCCTCCATATATTATGGGCAAAGATGCAAGAGGAAACATTGTAGAAAATATTTCTGGGCAGATTTCTATAAAGCAAGTCCTTAGTTTTAGCATTTTTCTGGATTATCTGATGATCTTCATATCATATTATTCTTCTCTCTTATTACATTTGTTACCTTCACCATCCATTTTGGTAGGGATGACTGGTCCATGACTGACAATTTTCCATAGGTCAAAGTAAGTGGCCGGAAGGAATGTTTCCATATGCATCTTCCATTCATCATAGTGATGTCCATCAAATAGAGGAGGTCTTCCAATGTGTATTCCAAGTTGTACTAGAGGTTCTGTCTCTACTGTCTGATGTTCATCAATTAAAACATAGAGACTTATGGCCCTATCCTTCTTTTCTTCATCTTCATCACTTTCATTGTCCTCATATGCTACTAAAAGGTGTGCTTTATTGCTTCAGTGAATCCTTTACCTAGGATTGTTCCTTTGTTGGGACCTTTTTCTCTCATTTTTTCCCGTTTTTCTTTTCAGCTCATTCTTTCCTCCACTCAATTTTTAAACCATGTGGTCTAGCTTGCTACACTTATATCACACATCATAATTAGTTTTGTTGATCTGCTTAGGCTTACCGTTGGTATCTCTCTTAGATGCATTTTTGGAGTTCTTTATGAACTTCTTGAACTTAGCAAACATTGCTAGGTCAGGATCATCACTGTCAAATTCATCTTCCTCATACGCTTTAAGGACTAAGGCCTTATACCTCTTTGGTTCTTCCTTGCGCAGTTCTATCTTTCTCATTTTATGAGTCTTTAAGTTTCCAACCAACTCATCGAGTGAGTTCTTGTCCAGCTCCTTGGCTTCCTAAATAGCTGTGACTTTTGATTCCCATAAAGCTGGAAGGATCCTTAGAACTTTGCTAACCAATTCTTCTAAGGTGAACACCTTTCCAAGTGACTTTAGTTCATCAGTTATTATGGTAAACCTAGTCATCATCTCCTGGATGGGCTCAGACTCCTTCATGGAAAAGAGTTCATAGTTTCTCATAATAATTATATCCTTGATCTCTTCACTTGGTTTGTTCCTTCATGAGCAGTTTGGAGTGTATCCCAGATCTCCTTTACATTGCAGTAAGCAGATATTCTGTTGTACTCATCAGGACCAAGTCCACAGATAAGGATTTTCTTAGCCTTTACATTCTTCTCCATCATTCTGAAATCTACTGCCACAAATTCAGAGGGGTCCTTAGGAATTATTTCATTTTGCGCATTTTATTTAGTGGGAGTTAATGGACCTTGGTTCACTATGGTAAATAGTTCATAGTCTTCAGATGTCAGAAAATCTTTCATCCTTGCTTTCCACCAACTAAAATATTTTTTATTGAACAAGAGTGGTCTGGTAGTTGATTTTCCTTCATTAATTTCGGGTGGAGCACTCATTTTGCTTCCAAGATCTCTATAGATATTAGCCATGTGTGTGAGAGAACCTGTTCTGATAACAATTGTTAGTTTGAGTGCCCTTATGAATTAATAAAGAACTTGGCTTTTTACCATCACTACAAGAAATTGAGGATACGACGACATTTATTTAGTGACTATTGAAATAAATGTTGGAATTATTTTTTGACATTTATGACAAAATGTCGTAAAAACTACGACATTTAATATTAATTGTCATAGAAACAATGACATTTGATACTAAATATCGTAAAAATAATGACATTTGATAGGAAATATCATTAAAACAACAATATTTGATACAAAATGTCGTCAACATAATGATATTTCTTAAGAAATATCGTAAAAAGTATGACATTTGCTACAAAATATCATAAAAATTAGACATTTGATACAAAATGTCATAAAAAGGACGACATTTGGTATAAAATGTCATAAAAACAATGACATTTGGTCCAAACTGTAGTAAAAATACGACACTTATATCAAATGTTGTAAAAATATTTTTGATACAAATGACAAAAAAATATGACCTTACTTTAAATGTCATATTATTTGTCGGTAATTACGAACATTTACATCTACAATTAGAAATTTCTCTATACTTTCTAATTTTTAAATCATTTTTTGTCTTGTAAAAAATATCACACCCTTTATATTTAATATTTAATTTGTTAAAATATTGTGATAATTACCTACAATATAGACGATTTCTCTTCTTGTTGCTTAATATTTTAAAAGGCTCGTCCAGGACTAGCTCATGGGCGAGGCATTTGCACAATGCCTTGAGGCGGCTCAAGTGTAGGGCTTAATTTGTGAGGCTTACATCCACCACAAACATAAGATTATGCACCCTACATGCCTATCGCTCAGCGTTTGGGCTCGCTCAATAAGTACTAGGTAAATCATCTGTTAAATTTTCTAATTAATGGTGTAGACCCTCAAAATACATTAACAAATGAATGATCTTAACTCAAATAACGAGTCATAGTATTGTATAGTATTTACTAAGTGAGAGTTAATATTATTTGAACATTTTCTCTGAATATATAGATAATCGAACTGTATATCTTCACTCGCTATTGATTTTTATTTCTTAATTTTTTGTCTACCAAAAGAGACTTTAATACTTTGTATTTATTTCTGAAGGAGTAATATTTTGAATTATAATATTGATAAAGTTTATTGATTATTACTTTTAGAAAGGTAATTAAATGTGTAGTTTGATAACAATTTTAACATTATTGCATTGTTTATACTTGTAAACACTACCCTCCCGAGACCCCACTAAGTGGGATTATACTGGGTTGTTGTTGTTGTTGTTGTTGTTGTTGTCTTGTAAAACATGTTAGATATTTTGGTTTTTTATGAGTTTCCTTAATCCTTTGATTTTCTTAAACTTATAATGCACTTTCTATATTTTTATTATATATATATATATATATATATATATTGATTTCTTGAACTAAAAAATTTAAAGATTCATGAGGCTAACGCCTCCCCCGATATTAAGTGAAATGCCCACATCATATGCCCCGCTTTTAAAATATTTTTCCGATTTAAAACTTTATATATATATTAAAATATTAATATTTAGTCAAAATATATATTATTATTACTACTACTTGTTAGATGTTGGATTTAAAGAAGAAATATTTAAAATAAAACAAAAATATATATGAAATCAAGGAACCAACATTTACTGACCAAACTTGAGAAAGTCGTAGCCTTACAAGCATCTCAAGACCCATACCCTCTCTTCTCTCAATCTAAAATCAATTTTGGCTCAAAATCTCAAATTGGGTTTAGCCAAAATTTCTCAAGTCCGCTCCCTCCACCCCAAGACTCAAAAGGAGCTATGTATGGAGAGTATTGGAGATTTAGAAGGAAAAGATTTTGGCGGTAAGAATTTTGCTTCCCTCCTCCCAATTCTAAAAAATATAGTTTTCCTCCCTTAGTTAGAATTCTACAAAAAAACCTAATTTTTTGCATTTCACTGTGCTATAATAGATACTTGGAGACGAAAATCTCTGAGGCTTTTGCTGCTAAGATTCACAAAGGTTATTTTCTACAAATTCAAGGTACCCAATTTAGTTAACAAATATCTTTCTTTTTCTTAGTTGTTCGTATTTGGGTTAACAAATTTCTTTCTTTTTCTTAATTATTCGGATTTGAGTTAACAATTTTCTCTTTTAGGTATTGATTGGTAGATTGATTTTGATTTTTTTGGTGTGTTTCTGGGTGTTTGTTGTTTAATACATTTATAAAGCTGGATATAAGATTTTCATTATTTAGTGGTTGATTATGCTTAGAGTTCAATTAGATTATTAGTTTCTTGGTGATTAAAGCATTAATTATTGTATAGTAACTAATTGGTTATTCTTTTTGTTGTCTATTTGGTTGAAAAAATTGGATCTTGCATTTTTTTTTGTGAGAGAGAGAGAGAAATTTTGGTGTTAATCTTTGTGACGAGTACCTCATTTTGTTGTTTTTAATAAATATATTAATATTAATTTTTATCAAGTAAAAGTTTCTGTTGTCTATACAGTTGTGTCAGTTTATACAAAATATCTTTTAGATATTGATTATTAGATTGTTTTTGATTTGGTTTTGGTTTATTGGGGTAATTATAGTTTAATCCATCACTAAAGATTTCATTATTAACCACTGATACCACAACGCCTTCTTCATTGATAAGAAAAATAGCGGTGAATCCTCTGTTGTCGCCAGATAAACTGTTTATAAGGGGAAACTACAATCTTTATTAAACGTTTGTAGTGTTGCAATATGTTGATTTAATTATTTGCTTGTCTTTTTCTGTGCTCTAGCATTCATATGAAATAGTCTTAAGCTATATAATAGACTCGGGTATGATTTGGTAAATGTGCATCCTCTATGTATATTGGTCAATTGTTGCAGAGAGAAGCAATCCAGTTTTTTGACTTATATTTGTGCCTGCAAAAATGTCTTGTTAGGTTGGAATTAGGAGAAACACATGTGGTATAATGAAATGTTATGAAATACTATAATTGCCTTACACCATCTGTTTCCTTCCCATTCTTGGAAAACTGAATTTAATGTCATTACCATTTCGTGCGATAGTCATATTACTAGAACCAATTCTTAGACCTATAATATATTCCTGAATGTTGTTGTTAGTGCGTGGATTCATCTATCGATATATGTTTTCTTATTTCATCATTCATTGAGAGTTTAATTGGATTATGGTATCTTGATTATCGGATACTTTGTTCATTTTTGTTGAGTTTGCGGGTTGATTTTCTATTTGATAATAGTACGAATTGGTTATTCATTATAGTTATATCCTGCATTGAGTCGAGGGTATGTCGAAAACAGCCTCCCTACCTTTTAGGTAGGGGTAAGATCTTCGTACATACTACCCTCCCTAGACCCCACTAGTAGGATTATACTGGGTTTGTTTTTGTTGTTGTTGTTGTTGTTGTTGTTCTTAGTTGTTCAGATTTTATTTGTGAAGAATGTTAATCTTTTTAACATGATAAAAGAAGAGAGTCGAGTAGGTTATTTGACCAACATAGAAATAGTATATGGAAGAGCACATGGAATTGTGGCCCGAACAACAACTGGATGATAATATATTTGAAAATGAAGAGGATATTAAATGGGTTAGAGAAGGTGTGCCGGGAATAGAAATTGACCCACTTACTTTGGAAGTAATGAAACATATGATGAAGAAGACGACATATCTTAGTTACTTTATTTTTTTGTCGCTATTTTAGTAAAGATTGTTATTAAACATAGATCATCGAGTTGGGGATTTCTTATTATGTTTTTTAGTTGTTTAAATCTCATATGTGTATGTGTCTTTCGTTTGGCTTGCTAGTTTGATATTATTTTATATGTCTGGATAGTAGAAAATATTTTTCAATTTTGCAGGAACTATAGTATTTGAGCAACTTTGTTGTGATGGCAAGAAAAAGACAGAGAAATTTCAGTCAAGAAATGCTTCTGCCTGATGTTCCGGAGCAACAAGAAGAACAAATGGGAGGTGCGGCGATGCCTCAACCACCTCAAAACTGGCCACAAAATGAAGGACAAGATATCCGATCCGGTAAATCAAGAAATGATTCGCATGAAACAGAAAATTTCCTATGTACTTATTCTGTATAATATCTTATCTTTATTGAATAGCTACACTTTGTGTATTTGTACCTTTCCAAGCAACCAAGTAGACCTAAATGTAAAATATCAACTCAAGCAAATCCACCAAGAGTACTTGTACTTTGACCACTCATCTTTATCATTGTTCCTAAAATAATATACTTATAAGTTCCCCACCGAAGCAGAGACACCACTTAAACATACAAATAGTATCATGAATGTGCAGACACCTATATTCTGATTTTATGAAGGTAGCACTTGCTTTGCTATTAGAAGCTATCTTCTGCAGTACATTGGCCAATTACACTTAGCTCTTCATATACAACTTGAAAACATGAGACAGATTGTGAGCACATCAATATTATCGCTAAGATATGTTTAATGGATCTAGCTGAGGCATCTAATAATCTAGCAGATATGTTATCCAACAAAGAATTCATATCACTATACCTACCTGTATCGCTGTAGTTTTTTTCCCCAAAAATATATATGCTTCATTTATGGCAGCTTTTTCTCTATCACTTTATTATTCTAATCCCTTGGTATTAATGGAGTGTTTATGTGAATTTTTAAAAGAAGAAAGAAGAATTAATTGAGTTTTACTAGTTATGGATGACTCTCTTTTTTATATTTGGTTATTGCAGACTCTAGTACTAATGAAGAGCAATCTAAGCGACCTAGGGGTCCTACTATGATGCACTCGGGATGGGGAAAAGATGGTGGCATTTTACATGTTGAGTTGAATCATCTTAATCAAGCTATTCGACCTGATGCAGCTAGATTGAGTTCAAAACTTGGAGTCATAGCACGAAATGACATTTTAGCTCCTTTAAATCATAAAGATTGGAGGCTTGTGCCTAAACTGTACAAGAATAGGATATGGGCTCATATTAAGGTGCTTAGAAAATTAAAGAAAAAGGTTATGTACTAAGATGCTTATTGATTTTATGCTTTTATACATGTGTTATACGTTGATGTTTGCAAGAAAATACTGATGCAACTGAGGATATGAGACGTATTTTGATGATATCGGTTGGATCTAAATAGAAAGAACGGAAGCATGAAGTAAAAATGATTGGTTATGAGCCATACAACAACGATATCGAGCGCTTAGCTAAACGTCCAGATAGGGTAGAAGAAGACTAGTGACGTGCATTAGTTCATTATTGGAGCTCTAATGAAGCAAAGGTATTCTCCGAGCATCAAGCATCTTCTTCTCTTGCCCTTGGCACATGCTATTAGCGCATTCCTTATGCGGATCATACTTTTTCCTTTAAATATTTTTATGCTTTTCCTCTGTAGTTCTTCTTACCATTTTTTTTCCTTTAAAAGTTTTATTCTTTGGTCTGATGTTTGGCCATGAATTAGCTTTAATATGTAAAATTACGTGTAACTTTTCTAGGAAAAGAGCGAGAGGAACAAAGAAAGTCGAAGGAAGTTGACTATGTCACACGCATCAGGAAGAAAAAGTCATTCTCAAATTATAGATGATGTATGCCATATTTACTATAAGCTTTCTGCAATTTATATAACAATACTTATTTTCTTGAATATATTTATTACAAATTTTTTACTATTTAAACAGATGACAAAGAAGAATGGTGTAAAACCAAGTCGTATCGAGGTATTCAAAGAAACACATACGAGAAAGAATAAACAACCAGTAAATGAGATAGCTGATGAAACTATGGTAAATTCTCATTCTTTATGAATATGAATTACTTTCTTTCCAATATAAAATTTTATTAACTTTTCATTGTTTTACCTTTTCTTTCCAAAAGAAAGAAATGGATGAACTTGCTAAGGTGTATCCCGAGTTAAATGTCCCTGGAAGTGCTCTCAATGATGTGTATGCACAGGTTATGGGACAAGACACTCATGGAAATGTTCGAACTTTAGGAAAAGGAGCAGCTCCAAGTTTTGTTTATGGCCCTGCATATAAGCGGTCCCATGCTGAGCAAAGAGATTTTGATAGAAGGGTTGAGATAGAAGTTGAAAAAACTACCTCCGCTATGAGAATTGCAATGGAAGAAAAATTGTCTGAAGCAAAAGAAGAAATAGAAGCAACGGAGAAAGAGTTATTTGAAGCAAAAGAAGAAATAAAAGCGATGGGGGAAAAAATGTTAGAAGCATTAAAGGATATGGATGCAAAAATAGAAGATAAAGTAAAGCTGGGTATAAATGCATATCTTAAATCTTTGGGTATTACTATTGGCTCAATTAAGAAATTATCTGGTGATGAGCAGGTAAAAAATATTGTGCTCTTTAGCAAAAATTTATTGTATTTAAGATAATCTTGTAATTTAGTTTTCTTTTAATTATAGTAATCTTCCTCTTTTGTGATAGCTTTCTGATAACTCAATGGACGATCACCAACAATCACTATCACCTATTTCACTTGTTCACACAAAGATGGTGAGTTCGTAAACTCATTTTAACTAAATCTTTTTCTGCATACATTCGAAGAGTATAGTTTTAACTATGTCAATTTTCACTTTAGTTACGTAAAGCTTCAAAATAACATTTTAAAGTATAGAGGCTATTTTGCAGTAAAAAAAGATTATGAGTATGTTCTCTCAAGGATGGAGTTCCATTTTTTAAACTTGTGTTTGACGATGATGGTGGCATTCCTGTTACAGCTGTGAATAAGTTAGATTCTTTTTTCTTTTTGTTAATTGATAGATTCCCATCAAACATGATTTTACCCTCCTACATAAGATATTTAGCCTCTTGTAGAACCTGGAAGATTTTCCTGCTTTACCAGGATTTAAAGGTGCTCATCTACATGCACAAAACTCTATCTTAGCGGGTTGATCCAAGTGGCAGCATTCTGCACATGTTTTCTTTTACACTTTTGGATGGGATCAGAAAAGTAAAGGCAGGTTAGGGAAGTAAAAAGAGGACGTGTAAGAGACATTCCCTGTTCTTTCTGTTATAAAGGAGGAGGTTAAGTAAAACTGGATGTTTTCATAACGTTCCATGTCAGTCTTTTATTTCCTTAATTCGATAGAATTAGAAGGGAGTGTTATTTACTTCCCTTTGTTTGTACCAAACAACATAAAATGAAGGATGATTACTTCTCCGTGGTAAGGAGATAATGGAATAGCATATCCACTTAATCCTTATCTCTCCTCCCTTGAATGTTAGTGTTGAGTTGCAACTTAACAGTTTCTACCATGACAGTAGAGGCTGTCAATTCACAAACTTTGTCGTATAGCTCTTTTTTTCCCTGAGAAGGCAAGGGACATCGGTGTTACCATGCTTTATGGCCTTTGTTGCTAGATATTTTTGCCTAAAAAGAAAAGCCCTAGTAGTTGAGCCCATAAATAGGACCTCTTATCCTCATTAGGGATTCATACTCAGCGGCCATAAAACATCAGTTGAGATCTGAAATTACAAAGAGCTTCAAAAACAAGGAAAAAAATAGGACAAAAAAGGGTTTCAACACCTGTTTTCAATCCTGGTTTTAATTGCTTTGTATTTCTGAGTTTGAGGAGTAATTTAACTTAAAGAGTTATTGTTGTTTGCCGGTGATTTCTGGTAGCTGAACCCACCATTTCTTTGCTTTCACACCTTTATTTGGTAAATATTTGTTCTCCTCCATAACTAAGTATGTTTTGTGTAACTGTCAATACATAATGATGAATGAAACTTGATGTATCTATACCATGTGTAATTTAGTGAATCTAGAATGTTCACTCTCTAATTTATGTCTGCAAATTTTAGTCTACTAATATCATGTTTAGACAGTAAGTAAATAGTTGTGTTTTAAATCATTATGACTTTGTTTTGTTTTTTTTATATCTTGTATTCACAATTTTTTAAGTTGTAAAGTTTATAAACTACCATAGTAACCAATCTAATATTTCTTCTCAGGTTAACATAATCAAGAAGACTGGAGTTAGTGAAGTAGGCACAAAGAAAAAAAAGAGCGGGTAAGTGTGAAAAAATTACAAGGTTCTTGGGCGATTGCGTTCACTTTCTTGGATTTTTTGCTTTATGTTGTCTGTTTCTTTCTCTCTTCAGTTGCTAGTATTATATTCATTATCATTTTGTTTCTCTTTTAGAACATGAATCTGTTATTATTTTTGGTATTCCAATTTTTTTAGAGGATGAAAGAATTCACTTTATTATAAAGGTATAATTCTTTTTTTATTCTTGTGACTTCTTGTGCAGCATTCTTGAAGGAAGTGATGTCAATTACTAGCAGTGAAAAGCTTGATTTGTGGAGAGTTGGTTTTATAAGATTTAGCCTAGAAGTTGAGGAAAATTAATTCGAATTAGGAGCGATCTTACAGTACTTATACATTGAAATTACTATCTTTTATGATTTAGTTAGATTTGGGTTTTACGTGAGAGAAAATCATTTAATTTGACATTATCTATCTTGTACTAAGTACGTTTTATATTGCTATTTTGTTCTTTGGTTACTGTGCTAAAAGATATTTGCTTTACATCTATTTCATGTTTGTTATAAAAGTTGACATTTGTGAATGTAAATGTGTTCATGATGAAACTAAACAGAACATTATTATTTACATTCTAAAAAATATGATAGCGACATTAATTTAAATGTTAAAACATTTAATGCGATATTTTGCTATGTTGTAAAAGATGTAACTAATTTTTTTTTAATGACATTCACATAAAGTGAAAACGATATTTTGTATATGTTGTGAATTTTCTTAGTGACATTTACCAAAATGTCGGATATTTCAATATGACATTTTGTGAAGATTATACGTAAATGTCGTATTTTTTAGTAACATTAATCTAATTGTCGAAAATTTTAAGTGACATTTCTTATATGTTGTAAACCAAATGTCATAACGTTCTTACCGATATTTACCTAAATATCATAAATTAAATGTCATAAATTTCTTATTGACATTTACCTAAATGTTGCAAAGTAAGTGTCGCAAATTTCTTATCGACATTTACCTAAATGTCGTAAAATAAGTGTCATAATTTCTTATTAACATTTACCTAAATGTCGTAAAGTAAGTGTCATAATTTCTTTACCGACATTTACCTAAATGTCGGAAAATTATCGACATTGAAATTAACGACATTTGATGCAAATGTAAATTAAATGTCGGTAAATAAATTTATGACATTTAAACAGCATAATACGATATTTATTAAATGTCGTCATATCTCCATTTTCTTGGAGTGCATACTCCGTGAAGTAGAATAAGCAGTAAAGTAAAAGATAACAATTTTATGTGAAAAGTCACCCGGCTCAAAGGTACAAAAACCACGACCTACTGCATAGGATTTTCAACTTCAACTCCACTAGAACAATGAGCCAAAATGTATCGATTACAAGACTGTAACTCAATGCTCTCCAGTACTCCTACTATAACTATTTGATTTACAAGTTACTCTAACCTGTAAAGTAAACACACACTCCAACTCACCAATTGTTTGTGACACTTTGATTACAACTCGATTTCCTAAAATACATTCATTAGACTGACTCAAGAAGAACACAACACTGATACTCGACTAGAGTGTGTAAAATGTTGTTCTTCAATTGATGTGTAAAAGGATATGTAGAACAGTCCAAATGGATAGTATTTAAATGCCTGGACTCCAAGATCTTCTAGGAGTCCTATGCGTAGTCAGCTTCTCGTTTGATAGGACTCCTACTGTTCCAAAGACTCCACAAGTCTTGGGCTCTTGTCTCTCACTTATTTATTCGTAACTTCTTGGGCAACAACTCTTATTATGTGCAGCAACATTCTTCCACCAAACTCGGACCCGGGTAATTTTGAGATAAAGTTACTGTCTTGCAAATGCGTTCAATCATCAACCATGAGGAGCTGGACCTTTAACCTGGGAAGCTGGTTCTTAGAGCAGTTAAGCAGCTATGTTAAGCATCATATTCTTCGAACATTTACATCTGAACAAACTTTGTTAATTATCAAAATCTCAATGCTCAACACAACTTGTATTGTAGCTTCTCTATTTAAAAGATTGGCATCATTTTTTTTAATCGGAAGAACCTTCAAATTGCAAACTCAATTGCAACTCTTTAGACAGCATGACTTAGAAAAATTAATAATAACAATATATATTAGGCCTTACTAAGCATTACTTAACAGAAACTAAAGCCTTTAGAACTCAAAAGTTACTAAGTTCCGCTTTTGGTGCCCTACTCCCTGTGGGAATGGCTAACAGTTTACTTCTTTTCAGCTTTGAAATGAGTGGCTGGATTCCTTTATTTGGTCTAAGAAAGAACGCTGCTTTAGACTTTTTGTAAAGCAACTTTTTTTTTTTGAGTCTTAAAAGGTGAGGAATTGCGGCAGCCTAACTCTTGCATATTCAATGAACGAATCTCGTCACTATAAAACTACTAAACTTTTTGCGGAATAATGATGGTTTTTTCCCTTGTTTTTAAACAAAACCAAATAGCCGACCAATTTAAACTCGCATAAGGTTGGCCTACTAGTGTACATAGGACTATGGGAGGGATAAAGCTCTTAAAAGAGAAAAAAATTCATTATCATATTTCAATCCCGATATTTGAGCCGAGGATCTATCGAAAACAGTCTTTCTACTATTGCAAGGTATAGGTAAGGGTGCGTACACACTACCCTCTTCAAACACCACTTGTAAAATTATACTGGGTTTGTTATTATTGTTATATCTCTGACACCTTTAATTATGGCCGAAGAGATCCCGATCATTCCCTCGTACATCCCTTGATAATGAATAATGATAATAGATATTGTCTTAATGATAAAGATGATAATGATAATTAATGCATGTGATTATGACTAAGCAAGAATTAACATCATATTCTGGTGTTGTTCAATCTTTTAAACACACTTACGATCATCATTGCTTAATGTTCCTTGCTCCAGCAACTGCAGTTTGCAACATCGCTGTCTTTGCTTTGCTTTGTACTTTACAGCTTTGTACTTTACATATTATGTTTAAGCATCATTGGTCACTCCATATGATAGATTATAAATATAATTTCGGTAATTCAATTTGTGATTCTTATTCTACTAGGCTCCTAGGCCTCATTTGTTTGCAGGAGGTCTCAATCTTAATCATTGAGATCTCAGTTATTAAGTGTGTTTGTTTTTAAAGTCTGAATCTTAATTATTCAGATTTTAATCATTAAGTGTGTTTGTTTTTTCTACTTCACAACTACTTAATGAGTATGAATAGGTCTGTATGATTAAGATCCATAACAGAGACTTAATTTTATTAAAATGCTATCATCCATATCCATTATTAATTGTCGTCACTACCTACTATTATCAACTACCACCATGCCACCACCACCATCATACTCAACCACCACCACCACCACTATCATCCTCAATTATAGCTGCCACCATAATAGATTACCACCACCCACCATTCGCACCACTCCCACCACCATTATTCTCAAACACAAACAACACTTATCCACCACAACTAACCACCCCATCACCATCAACAACCATAATCGCACTACACATCATTATTAACTATAACCACTCACAGCCACCATCATAATCGCTACCACTACTATCACCACTAGCTACTACCCTGAACCAGAACCAAAACCATCAACCAAATTTACCACCAACCATCGCCTTTAGTCGGCGTTCACAAGCACCATCGTTAGCTATCACCACCAGCAACTACCATATTTTAAAAAAATTATATATTTTATTGATAGAATATTAGATTAATTAGTATTTCATTTGAATTTTATGTTTATTAATTTTCAAATAAAGATAAATTTTATACATTCAGATATTAAAAATCAAACAGTCTTAATCATTTAGTATTCATATCTTAATACACATCTTAATATTCAGACATGTATTCAGGTTTAAATATCTTAATCTTAATATATATCTTAATATTCAAATGTGTATTCAGATTCAGACATTTTAAACTTAAAAAAAAACAAATTAGGCCTTAGCCCCTCTGCGGACACGTTCTTATGAATTTAACAAAATATATTTAACTTAAAATAAAGGGAAATTACAGAATAAGTAGCAGTTTTACCACGAATGACTAACAGTCGCATGACGTAATGATTCAGCTGGACATTGGGAATTGGCATCATTCAGAATCAAGCTTAAGTCCGAGAGGTCCGTTGTTCGTAAAAACGCGAAAAACTGAACCAAACCAAAAGCCAAATTAAATCGACCAAAAAATTAATATTTTTTTGATTTGGTTTGGTTTGGTTTTGGTTTTAAATTTTAAAAATCGATCAAATTTAGTTTGATTTTGGTTTTAATTAAACAAAAAAAACCGATCAAACCGACTATAGAAGTAGTTATTTCAAATTTATTATTACATATATATATATATATATATATATATATATATTTATACAAATTTTTTAAAATTTTATGGTAAATGTTAATCATTTGCACTTTTAGTACAGTTCTTTGTCTTTACATTCTAGTTTGATTGGTAGTTTTCTTTTGTTAAGTGTAAGAACTCATTTCATGTTAACAATAATTAATTTTTAANTTTGTAAGAAATTCATAAAAGGACAGATTCTATTTATTTTTAAATGAACTTAAATTTTAATTTATAATAAAATTTTAACATAATAGGTAAAAGAAATAAAATAATCAAATATAATAAAAATTTACATAGAGAGGGGACTGAAATTGTCTCGGGCAAAACGTCAATTGCTCAAAATTGAAAGGGCAATTTAATATTAAAAATATAGTTTGGAATGTAAATGAATTTCACTCCGCTGAAAAGATACAATTTAATCCACCTTAATATATAGCGGATCTATGGTTTAATTCCTCTGTTTTCTTCCTTCTCACCCGATAAATTTTTACATTATTTAGAGATTGGTATGTCAATCTCGAAGGACGTACATTAAAGAAGTAGGATATAGTGTTGTCCCTCGACAATTTTTTAATTCTGATATAAATAAATGGTACGCTTGATGATTAAAAAACTAATAAATTTCCTTCTGAAAGCAAATAAAATTGCTCAATCTTCAAAGAAAAAAAAAAGTCAAACCACAAACAATAGGTGCAAATTAATTTTTTCCCTCAAAGGAGAATGGTCAACATTGCCTGTTTCAAACTGAGAGAGAACTCATTTTCTCGAAATAGACGTGGAAACAGCCGCAGAATTGCAGCATAACACTTTGTACGATAAATTCTTGTGGTCCGGTATTTTCCCAAACCTTACACATAATGAAAGCTTAATGCATCGAATTGCTTCTTTTTTTTAAGACGCATGGCCACAAGTTGGCTAGATATAAACTTTATAATTGATAATAAATAAAATACTATTACAGTCGTGATAGTTTAATTTCTTTTATAATCTTCCTGAAACATAACTTAAGTCCATGTAAACTTTTAAAAAAGAAAGAGAGAACATATTTCCGTCTAAGGACTTGATGGAAGGAAGAAAATCCACGAGTGCAACATGTGAAACGAATCGC